AGGGCCATGCAGCTCGTTATGCTCAGACCCCATCCACACTATGCCGGATAAATTTGAATCCGAATTTCTATTTATTCGGTTAGGCCTACCGTCCACACTAGTCCGGGCGAATCCGAAACAATTCTTCACCGAAAACGAATTTTTTCGAATACCGTCTCCAGAATGGAACAATTTGAAAACGCTGGCTAGCCGTATTAGTGTGGACGGAGAACCGAAATTTTTCGAATACGATGACGTCATGATTGTCATGGGAACATGGCGGGAAGGCTAAAAATTCACCGCAGGCTCAATTTCAGCTTCGATGCCCTGCTCAGATGTGCAATGAAGCATTTTTGCCGCCTCTGGTCGCGTGTGTGGACTAGTGTGGACGCGAAACATTTTATCCGTTTTCATGTGTGGACGGAAAACTTTTTTTCGGTTTCGGTGTGAAAGTTGCGGATTCAAATTTCCGGCATAGTGTGGATGGGGCCTCAGATTGAAACTACAGTGTSTCATTATTCTGTATATCATTTTGTAAAAAAATATTTTRAAATATTAAAAACAGAATATTTTTTTAAACACTTTAGAGCAGTTAATWTTACCAGATCAATTCATACTGCTCGAACTTACAAACTCGGCATTCTCATTTAGTCAAGCTGAGCAATGCATGCCATTTCCCCTACTGACTATAACTTGGTCTCTAYGTAGCTAGTTCTTATTGCCGAAGAAAAGGAAATAAATCACGTCACAAGAAAACATCCTGTCCGCAAATATTAATGAGGTGTCGACTTTTACAAGTCTCGCTCGCCTTMTCGTTTCCTTCGCGCTATTCCCCTGGGAAAGCCGTTTTAACCGGAAGTACACTATTTGAATCAGCTAGAGTTGTAACGGAAAAAATATAGAGTGAGACTTTCACCAGTTATGCTTTTAAATCAACTGGAGCTCTGTGTTGTGTACGCCGACGGACGGACGGAAGTGACGTTTCAAACCATAAAAAATCCACTCCATGGATTAGTCTTAACTATTCTTCGAGAAGCTTAAAAACTAGATTTTGAGTTTCGATTTTACYAGTCTTAATTTGTTTTGATTTTTACGAAAAATATACGGAAATTACGAACAACTGTAATTTTCAGATAATAGCTTACCGATATTCAGTTAAGCTYCACAAGAAAAACTTTGCAAATAAAAACGTTCGTTGCCAGTAATTGGCCTTCGTAAATGTTTTTCTCAAACTCATTAATAATTCATGAGTAAACCAGCCAATCAATGGGCAATTTTTGGGTCACATGATGTTACTTGAAASYTTGTAAAGTGTYGTGAAAGGAATACATTCAGTCTTGAGTAACTGGAACAAAATTAACTCAGTCCTAGGACTGAATTAATGCCGGGCGCGGACTTGAAATCTCGTCTASTCCTCATTGTCGGCTTTGAAATATTACTTGAATACTTTTTTAACTTTTTAAAGTGATGCGAAAGACAAGGTACTACAGGAACATAAATTTTTATAATTATACTAGCTGGAAAACCTTATAAATAGCGAATATTTGGTGAAACTTTCCTTTTTATATTTTATTCAACATGAAAATAAATTATATTCAGAAATATTAAAACCATTGAAAGAGAAAGTAATTGTAATTTTTGAACTGCCGATCGGGGCGAACGAAACGTTTTCTAGAGCGGTCAAAAAATATGTGATGTTCTATTAAAAAAACACCTGAATTCTTGAAGATTCCTTCTTGATCCAGCTTTGACTACATAAAAAAGGTTAATTTCTGTGGTTCTTGGCCTTAAATTTGTCCTAAAGCGATGTTTTCTGTGCATTRCATTGAGAGGAGTTTTGCTTTGTAAGTCAACAAGGAGCCCTGTGGAGTACACAGGCCCGCGCGGTAGCTCCGATATTATTAATATTGCTGTGTACTCAAAATAATATTTTTAATAATGATGTCAGCTATTCAGTCACCAGGCAGCAATATTAGTAATATTTCTTTGAGGTAYACGACAATATTAATAACATCGCGTGGAGTCGTCCACAGTATATTGAAAATATTGCTTTGAGTCCACACAGCAATATTAATAATATCCCTGCTGAAATATCGATCATTAGCGTACGGTATGTGTTCTCTCAGCAATCGTTGTTATAGCCTCCTTAGCATACGTTCTTAGAGTCTTTCACGCAATTTTTCCCTTCCCACGAAGATCAACTTATTTTGAGCAGAACATTCCTTTCCAGTTGTTATTATGGGCCAATTGAAATTGGCTTTTGTTTGTCGCAGAGCAAATCAAAAACCTCGATAGAAATTTCGCGCCAATTCGAAAGGAATGCCGCATGCTGTCAAATTTTATGTTGGAATACATTAGCGAAGGTGACAAAGGGTATTATTATTCAAATAAAAACTTTACACAAGAAACAAAGCATTGCTTTCTTTTGGGATATGAACCACCAAACAACGAAAGAGTGAACGTTTTTGAAAAACATGACATTCCGGGCTTGGTAAACCTTCCTCTCGGCACCAAAATCTTCAGTGAAACGTCAAGTCAAATAACTTATATTATTCAACTCTTAATGATAAGTCCCTAATTTATAAACCCCTACCATTATGTTTCGATGTGTTTTCCTGATGTTTTAGCATTTATTCGCACAAACAAATAAGGTTTATAAATGCTAAAAGAAAAGTCATCGGAAAAACACATCGAAACAATATCTCAAAAGRGTGTCTCAATTTYTTGATATCTTGTCTCGTTTTAAAGTTATTTCTTCATTTATGAGCATATGAGGTAAACAATCACGTCACTACTTTTGGAACAAATATTTTCACAAGAAACGCGTTTATCGAAAATCCGAGATACCGTTTTGGACATCAAACTGCGCTCTTTATGATGACGTCAATTGTTAACAAGTCAAAAARAATCCCCGTGATCCTTGGAAACTTCTAAAAAAAGTTAAGTGATAATTTATTCCTAATAGGYAAATTTACTAAATTACAAATGTTCTATTCTTGTATGACAAGCTTCTTACAAGCAGGTGTATATATATATTTAAGKTAATAACAAAAAAGCTCGTTGGCACCTGCCACAATTTCAAACAGCTACAATTTGCAACTTGGCCTTTCTTTCAATTTCTTTCATTTCCAACTGCTTTGGCTTTTATTCATATCAACAAGAAC